AAACCTAAATAGGGGTTTTCTTTTCTACTTTTATGAGACAGCCAGAAGTTGTCATCCCAGAGATGCATGTGCTTAAGAAGGCAGCCAAGATCATCTACAGTTCTCCATTCAGCTTCAATGTCCTGTATTATTTATTTATTTATTTTGAAAAGGAGTTTGCTCTCATCGCCCTGACTGGAGTGCAATGGCAAGATCTCAGCTCACTGAAGCCTCTAGCTCCTGGGTTTAAGTGATTCTCCTGCCTCATCCTCCTGAGTAGCTGGGATTACAGGCATGTGTCACCATGCCCAGCTACTTTTTGTATTATTAGTAGAGACAGGTTTTCTCCATGTTGCCCAAGTTGGTCTCGAACCCCTGACCTCAGGTGATCTGCCCTCCTTGGCCTCCCAAACTGCTGGGATTACGGACTTGAGCCACCATGTCCAGCCTATTTAATTTCTTAAAGATGTAATTAAATTTTATTAAATATTTTCATCAAAATAAAAGATTCATTGTTCTAGAACTCGGTGTTAATCTAGTTGAAATATTTAAAAAGCCTATGTCTACACAGAAAGGCTTATCTTACATATTTATATATGTCTTAGTCAATTCAGGCTGCTATAACAGAATACTATAGACTAGGTGGCTTAAACAACAGAAATTTGTTTCTCATAGTTCTGGAGGTTGGGAAGTCCAAGATCAAGGCACAGACATATCTGGTGTCTGGTGAGAGCCCACGTCTTGTTTACAGGAGGCATTTTCTGGTTGTATCCTCACATACAGTCAGAAGAGACACGGAGAGATCACTTCATATCTCTTTTTTTTTTTTTTTTTTTGAGACAGGGTCTCACTCTATTGCCCAGTCTGGTGTACAGTGGCAAAAACACAGCTCTCTGCAGCTGCCTCCTCTGCCTCTTGGGCTTAAGCAATCCTTCCACCCCAGACTCCTGAGTAGCTGAGACTACAGGTGTGCGCCACTATGCCTGGCTAACTTTCTTATTTTTTGTAGAGATGGGATTTTGCCATGTTGCCCAGGCTGGCCCTGAACTCTTGGGCTCAAGCAATCTGCCTACCTTGGCCTCCCAAAGTGCTGAGAGTATAGGCACGAGCCACTGGGCCTGGCCCATCTCTTCTTATAAGGGCATTGATTCTATTCATGAGGACTCTGCTTACAACAATTACCTCCCAAATACCCTCCTCCAAATATCATCACATTGGGGATTTAGGCTTCAACATATGAATTTTGGGGACACACAGACGTTCAGTCCATAGTATGTATATCTGTATATTTATCTATAGTGATAGCTCTATCATCTACAGAAATTTAAGAGTAATATGAATTTATATGAATCATATGAGTTGCTTAATATTACAAAACATTCCTCGGTTGCTTTGTGCAGCTTCTGCAATTGGCATAAAATCATAAATATTCTGGAAACACAAATTGGAACACAAAAGCAAGAAAATGGACAAGTCACACTAATGGGAAATGATGGCTTGACTTAGCGACTATTGTATTCATTCTTTTTGAGGAGGATTTGATGAGTTTGTTCATTTGTCTTTTTTCTAATTTCTACACTTAAATCCTCCCTGTACGTTGAAGACAGTGTCCATCTCTGACATCAACATTGGGACAATCTATAAAACTATCCTGGCTTTCAAATATAGTCACCTTTTGTTTTGAGGACATAGGGCAAGAGATGGAGAAGTGTTTCCCCAGGGCCTGAACAGTGTTAGTAACCAGAGATGCTTAGGATTACTTGATCACTCTGTAATGGCAAATACAAGATCCCGAGTGACAGGGGCCCTGTGTATTCTTCTTTTTGCCCCAAGACAGAGTCTTACTCTGTCACCAGGCAGGAGTGCAGTGGTACAATCTCGGCTCACTGCAACCTCCGCCTCCTAGGTCAAGTGATTCTCCTGCCTCAGCCTCCCGAGTAGCTGGGACTGCAGGTGCGTGCCACCATGTCCAGCTAATTTTTGTATTTTTAGTAGAGATGGGTTTTTACCATGTTGGCCAGGATGGTCTCGATCTCTTGACCTTGTGATCCGCCTGCCTTGGCCTCCCAAAGTGCTGGGATTACAGGCGTGAGCCACGGCGCCCAGCTTCATGTATTCTTTAATACAGGTTTCCCCAACCGCCAGGCTGCAGTACTGGTCTGTGACTTGTTAGGAACTGGGCTTTGGGGCAAGTGAGTGTTACCATCTGAGCTCTGCCTCTGGTCAGATCAGAGGTAGCACTGGATTTCCATTGGGGTGAGAACCTTATTGTGAATTGTGAGGGATCTAGGTTGTGTGCCCCTTATCAGATTCTAACTACAGTTTCATCCCAAAACCATCTTGTCCGGCCCCATCGTTCATGGAAAAGTTGTCTTCCACCAAAACTGGTCCCTGGTGGCTAAAATGTCAGGGACTGCCGCTTTAACACATTTGTGTGCTTATGATGTATGTGCTGTCTAAACTACAAGGCCCTGGGCAAGGACTCTACTTGCCTGGGTCTGGGGCAACATTGCCTATAGCCTTCTCTCTGCCTCATCCACATTGCATAGACAAGAGCACGGCCTCTGTGTCAGGCAGACCTGAGCTCAGTTCCCAGTTCTGCCTCTTGGAATCCTTGTGGATTTCAGCCATTGACTTTCCTGGAGCCTCAGCATCTTTATCTGCAAAGTGGGGGATCTAACAGAATCCTATTATCTAACAGGATTCTCCTCCAGGGTCGTTAGTGCAGGCCTGCCCCTAACACTTGCAGAGCGTGGGGCAAAAGCAAGAATGGAGGCCTAGGTGCAGTTCACCCCCTGCTCTTCCCGCCCTGACTGCTCCACTCGATGTAGACATAAAAACTCATGTGTCCAGTCTATTCACACATCCTCTCATCTCTCAATACATCTGCCCTTGGCCATCCTTTGGTCCCAGGAGTATACAGACTGATGGCATGGTCCACCTTCGGGAAGGATAGACCACTGGGAGAGGGGGCCTACGCAGACCCTAGAATTAGCCTTTAGGGTCGCAGGTACTCAAAACATTGTCTAGATGGTGCTAGATGGGGGACTCAGGGGAAGAATGAGCATGAGTTCTAGTTGGACAGATCCCCTGGGACCCTCGGACTCCCCTCTTGTGGGGAGGAGGAAGACCAGAGACAGGTCCTTTAAAGCAGAGGGTCCGGATCAGGGCCCTGGTTATCTGGCTCTGAAGTGGTCCTGATGGTGCAGGGTCCATGAGATGATGTTTATAAACTGCTCAGGACAACGCTCGGTACTTATTAGGTGTTGAGCACATATTAAGTGCTCAATAAATATTAGTTGTTGATGTTATTATTGTTAAAATGAGAATCTGAGGGCTGAATCTCCCTTTCAATGATGGGATGGTAGTAAGTGAGATTGTGCAGAAGCAGCTACTCTAAAGGCATTTGGATGAGATGAGTCGGCATCCTAGTGGGTACCGAGGCTGAGGTTGCAGGGTGAGTGGCCAACCTGCTTGCTGGAGGCACAAGGGACTATTGTGCCCCCTGAAAGATATAATCCTTTGTGTTGTGTCCTTCTCAAGGTGCTTAAGAGCTCTGCAATGACAGAGAATGACTTGGCAGGGGCCTTTTCAGAGATTAGTAAACAGAAGCCTAGGTAGACTGTAGCTCTGCTAAAATCCCTGTTTATGAGGCACCTGCTATGTGCACAGATTCTATGCTACACTTTCTCTCTACAACTCTGCGACGGAGATTCATTTCACAGATGAGGAAACTGAGCCTCAGGAGGGTAAATGACTTGGTCAAGGTCATGTTGCCAGGGAGGGGCGGAATGTCTGACCCCAGGGCCAAGCTGTTTCCGCTGCACTACGATTCTGTGTCTAAGGCACAACTCATGAACACAGGGCGAAAACCTTCCCAGGGAGGCCCCAGCTAAGTTCCAAACAGGGATAATGACGGTGTGGATTATGAAGGTGATCAGTTCCAGGAAGCACGCAGTAAATCCTGGCTGAGCCCAGCCCTCTGCGACACCCTGGGGCTGCTCTGTGACCTTGGCAAAGACTATTCTCATCCGCTCCTGTATCTGACGGTTGCTTGACAGAGGTTGGTGGAGGAGGAGGCCGCCCTGTTCTCTGTTGGGCCCTAGTTCAGGCCAGGGATGGCATGAATGAACATGATCTCAGAGCTTGGGTTTGTCTTCAGCTCTGCTGAGGATGGTGGTGTGGGTGAGAGCTGGGGATCAACCCCAGTCCCCAGTGCCAGCCTCCAGGGACTTCCGCCTTCTCAGCTGTTTATCTAAAAAGTTATCTTCTAGGAGGTCTGCTTTGGATGCTGTTTCTGCACCTCCACCAGGTTCTGCTTCCTGATTCATGTCTGCCAGGTCATCCAGTCCTAAAGACTGGTCCAAATAACCAAACCAGGGTAGCTAATACCCTCAATGTCTTGGCCTTGGAGATTACCTTCAGATACACACTGCCTCCATTCATGACTGATTCAGTGCTCAAGCCCATTAAACAGCTACATTTGCACAATGAGGCATTCTGGGCTATGCCAGGAGAGCCTGGCCAAGATGAGGTTACCCACAAAGTGGACCCTGTACAAATAGTTTCTTTGGGTGGAAATCCCAGGAAGTGATGATGGGGAAATGGGGAGGGGAGGCAAGGAAGGAGGCCACTGTAGGTTACATTAATAAGCAGGTTACTGCTGTGAGCTTTCGAAGCTCAGTGCTTCTAGAGGCTTCTGGGAGACAACATAGAATGAGTCTCAGAGTTGTTCCTTTTGAGGGGTGAAGATGCTGTGATATTTACCCACCAACCTCTGCTTGTCATTGACTAAGGGCTGTTCCCAGTGACTTTAACTCCTCAGTACTCCTGGCCTGCCCTGTGCATGGGTCAAGCAAGCTTGTGCAGCAGAAGAAAGCCCCCAGGCAGAGTCGCAGGACCTTTCAGTAGGCAGCCATCTGTCACAGGTACAAGAGGGTGGTTACAGGATCTGCAACAGAAGCAGCCCCTTTTGGTCCTGCTGGATTATCAATGGTAAAACAATGCTCTGAGCCACCAGACAACCAAGAGTGAAAACTTTATTGCCCCAGGTACTTTACATGAATGTGACCAACACCACATTTGGGCAAATATATAAAAAGCACATCCTACTGTACAATTATTCCACCTTCTCAATTCATGCACTGTACAGACGCTCCCCAGTTTTCTCTCCTGGGAAGAGGTGGACACGATGGATGGGTTTCATGGGCAGCAGCCGCACTTGTCTGAGCCTCCTTTGCAGATGCAGCCCCGGGCACACTTGGCACAGCCCGGGGGGCAGCAGGGACAGCAGCCTGAAAGAGTCAGGGGATGCACAGATCCGCTGTGGGTCAACACTCCCATCTCACCACTGCCCCTCCCACCACTTAGAGGACGTAGGAAAAGAGGGGTGTGTGGATGAGGTTTCAATCCATATTAGCAAAAATCCTGGGACAGGAGATTGAGGGATGTTAGAACTGGAAGGGATCCCAGGGGTCATCTAGAGTCCATCAGAAGCTCACAGAAGGGAAAGGGCTTGCCAAGGTCATGGGACAGTGGCAAAGGCAAGACTAGAACCTAGGGCTCATGACTCCAGACCAGTGCTCTAGCCCCATTACCAGTGGGCGGGACAGAACCTCCCCTCAGTCCTCTTCCTGCTCCAAACACTGTGGATGCCCTCATCCCTGGGTGGGCTGCAGCCATGGAGAGCTCTGCTGTAGGTCTCTGCACAGTTCTCATTTCAGATCTTTACCAAATGGGTAAAAGGCATCCAGAACCTCTCCAATCACCATGGCTGGAGGATTGAGGATGGGGATTGGACTTTCTCCCTTTCTTCCTTCCTTCCTTCCTTCCTTCCTTCCTTCCTTCCTTCCTTCCTTCTTTCTTTTTTTGACTGAGTTTGGCTCTTGTCACCAAAGCTGGAGTACAATGGCATCATCTCGGCTCACTGCAACCTTCTTCACCTCCAGGGTTCAAGCGATTCTCTTGCCTCAGCCTCCCAAGTAGCTGGGATTACAGGCACCCACCACCACGCCCAGCTAATTATTGTATTTTTAGTAGAGACAGGGTTTCACCATGTTGGCCAGGCTGGTCTCGAGCTCCTGACCTCAGGTGATCCACCCTCCTCGACCTCCGAAAATGCTGGGATTACAGACGTGAGCCACTGTGCCCAGCCGAGATTGGACCTTTCTAACTCCCAGCCCACAGTGTCCCCAGTCACCATACTCACTCTTCCGACACGTTTTACAGTTGCAGTTTGTGCATTTGCAGTTGTCTCCACATATGCAGATTCCTCCTAGAAGAGAGGACAGAGCCACCACGAACGTGAGGATGGAGACGGAGTGAGGAACATAAGGCATGATGCCGACTGTCACAGTGGCAGGGCTCCTGGGTTGTCCTTGGGAGCTGGACAAGAGGGTGACAAGGCTGCTGAGCATCACCCCAGTGTCGAGTACTGTGCAATGCTCCACAGTTACAGGGCACGGATGGGAACTGGCATGGCTGCGTCAATCACTCCCGGGATAACTGTAAAAATGCAGATTCCTGGGACCAACTTTTGAGATGTTCTCATTCATAAATGTTGGTGGGGAAAGGGAATCTGTATTTTTGAAAAATAACACAAATAATTCTTATGTATAATGCAAACCAACAGATGCAGCCAACATTTACCAAGCCCAAGGTTCCTCTGGGAACTGTCAAAGCCTTTCACATCCTCTTGGCCATGCACAGTGGCTCACGTCTGTAATCCCAGCACTTTGGGAGGCCAAGCAGGCGAATCACATGAGGCCAGGAGTTTGAGACCACCCTTGCCAACATGGAGAAATCCCATCTCTACTAAAAATACAAAAAAAAAAAAATTAGCTGGGCATGGTGGCACACACCTGTAATCTCAGTTACTAGGGAGGCTGAGGCATGAGAATGCCTTGAACCCAGGAGATGGATGTTACAGTAAGCTAAGATCTTGCCATTGCACTCCAGCCCGGGTGATGGAGTGAGACTCTATCTTTAAAAAAAAAAAAAAAAAAAAAAAAGCCTTTCACACCATTGTCACCTTCACAAGGCAAGATGAAAACCATGAATGGGTTAAAGAAAGGTCAAGGAACGTCAGTGAACTCAAAACAAGAGCCACAGAGCTTCCTCCCCTCCCCTCCCCTCCCCTCCCCTCCCTTCCCCTCCCTTCCCCTCCCCTTCCCTCCTCTTTCTTCCTTTCTAGTCTTGCTCTGTCACCCATGCTGTAGTGACATGGTGGGAACACAGCTCACTGCAGCCTCAAGCTCCTGGGCTCAAGTGATCTTCCTGCCTCAGCTTCCTGAATAGATGGGACAACAGGCATGCACTACCACACCTGGCAATTTTTTTTAAATTTTGTATAAACAGGGCCTTGTTATATGGCCCAGGCTGGTCTCAAACTCCTTGGGCATAAGCGATCATCCTGCCTTACCACCCCAAGTGCCAGATTACAGACATGAGCCACCATGCCTGGCCCAGATCTTGTTTTTACACCATAAAAACCGTCTGTTTTTATACCATAAAGACTGCCTTGACTTCAAAAAAAAATTATCCCATCTTTCATTTTGAGTTTTAAAATGCTAGAAGCTCCTGCCTCTTTTGCAAGTTTTTGGTACAGAGATGACCTGTTAAGGACAAGGGAGTCTTATAAGACTCCATTATTTTTTGAGACAGGATCTTGCTCTATTACCCAGGTTAAAGTGCAGTGGTGCAATCTTAGCTCATTGCCACCTCGAACTCCTGGGCTCCAGCAATCCTCCCATCTTAGCCTCCTGAGTAACTGGGACTACAGGTACACACTACTATGCCCAGCTAAGTTTAAAAAAGATTTGTAGGCATGGAGTCTTGCTATGTTCCCCAGGCTGGCATTGAACTCCTGGCCTCAAGCAATTCTCCGGCCTAAGCCTCAAAGTGCTGGGACTACAGGTTGAGCCACGGCACCCAGACTTGCGAGACTTCTTTATACTATTTCCATGATTATAAAATCCCAGGATGGCTTTGAGCCCCGATTTCTCTCCTTCTGGCCAACACGCTTCTGTGGAATTAAGCCGTTTCAAAGACTCAAGAGTCCACATAAGTTGGAGGCAACTCCCATGGCATCTGCAGGTGCTTAACGGTTTTAGCACTTTTGTAGCAACTCTGGGATGTGGTTGGCTGGGAATAAGGAACCTCAGTCTACAGATGAGGAAACTGAGGACCAGAATGAGTAAGTGCCAGTGAGGGGATGGCAGCAATGGACCCAAACCAGATTGCCAGGTTCTGGGCCAGAGTTCTCCTCACTCTGGTGGCTGCCCTTAGGGGTTAACAGCTAGAAAGACCAAGTTTTTCAGGGCCCCTCCCAGCCATTCCCTGAGCCAGCATGCCAATTCTAGACAATCCGGCTGGGAGCTAACACAGAGTGGGGGTTGCCCTACAGGCAGCCAGTCCACCCATCAGCTCCCAGGACAAACCCCATTGGTGGCTCCTATTTGGAGGGAAGGGAAGTTTTCATCAGTGACCTGTAGGAAGCTGGTCCAAGGTTTCCAGACCCTAGGTTGGGCCTCTTTACTCACCAGACATGCAGACACATTTACCGGGGTCCATGGTCCAGGGCGTCCAAAAGGCTCTGGTGCTGTCACTGCTGGGGAAGGGAGGCTGAGTAAGCAGCAGCCAGAGGCTCCCCATTTATAGCCATGTGGGTGTACTCTGCAGCTCACCCCACTTCTCCCTGGGGCCAGACGCCCTGCACACGGCCCAGCCAGATGCCCTGGGCTAGGGGTTGGGAAGAGCAGGCAGAGGAGGGCAGAGGAAAGGCTGAGCAGTACAGTCGCTTTTCACCAGGGGTACAGGTGGCTGCACCCACCTCTCCTGCCCACCAGCCAAGGTTTCAGGGAAACCAGGCTCAGGCTCAAATGCATACATGGAGCTCAGATGGGCAGCTACATCCACCTTGTCTCCAAGTCCTATGCATTCTAGGTCTGCTATTTCTGTTCCCTCCTTCACAGGGGCTCCTCCTGCCCTGGCTCAGGGCCTCATTCTATCTCCCCTGTAGAAGCCCTTACTGTGGGCAGACAGGGGCCTCTATCCTTGGCCCTGAGCTTTGGAAGATCCCACCAAGAACCTCTACTGGCCCGTACCCTTCCCATGAGTGAGAAGGTGGAAAATTGGGGGTTGTGCCTACCCAGAGCGTGCAACCTTTCCTTCTAGACCACACACAACAAGAGAAGCAAGAAGAGACTTGGGGGAGATTTAACCACCTCTTCACTCTCCATTGTAACCCCATTCTTTGGTGTGGGCAGCTGACTATTTTTCAGTCTTTTTTCTTTTGAGTTGGGGTCACATTCTGTTGTCCAGGCTGGAGTGCAGTAGTGCAATCCTGGCTCATTGCAACCTTCACCTCCCAGGTTCAAAGGATCCTCCTACCTCAGCCTCCAGAGTAGCTGGGGCCACAAGTGCACGCCACCATATCTGGCTATTTTTTTTTTTTTTTTGTATTTTTGGTGGTAGTGGGGCTCTGCCATGGTCTCAAACTCCTGGGCTCAAGTGATCTGCCCACCTCGGCCTTCCAAAGTGCTGGGATTACAGGCGTGAGCCACTGCGCCCGGCCTACTTTTCAGTCTTTTGTAAAGTGCCCTGCAGAGGATGCAGCTTCAAGCTTCCCTGACAAGTTGCCATGCTCACCCACTCCCTATGGAGAAATTCTGGAGGTGGTGCTGATTACACATCCTCTAGGAAACCACCCCTGATTAACTGAAAGAAATCTCTCCCTCTGTGTTCCTTGGCTGATGTGTCTGTACATTTCTCACGACATTCAGTATTCGCTAAGCTCCTGCGTGATTATTTGTATTCATGGCTCTTACCGTTCTCGCCCCGATCTGGGAGCTCTCCGGTGAAAAACCTATGCCTGAAGCATCTCTATACGCATTCAACGTTCTGCACGTTTAGTGGATGTTGGACGAATGGATGAATTAATCAGATGAGTAATCAAATGACTGAAGGCAGGAGTGAGAGAGTGGATATGTAAGTGAACAAATGACTGAGTAAGTGACTGGTAAGTGGACAAATGCATGAATCTCCTGTGTGTGGCTCTATGAGGACCTCTGCTGAAAAATGCTGTTGCCATTCAGAAAGGCAAAAAACAGGCCTGGCCGTAAGCAGTGGAGATAATTCCTCCCAGTTCTCAGCTTGCTGGGGTCTCCATCATTCATTCATAAGGACTACCTGGGCTTCAGTCTGACCCACGGAACCACGGATTTGGGATTGAGAGCTTCCAATGAGGAGAAAGGGATGGGTCCATGGTCATCAGCAGTTCACTGTGGCAGGCATTGGGGAGGGGAGGAGAGGGCAACACTGTAGTGATCTCCAAATGGTGCCTCCCTCAAAGGAGTTCACAGCCTAGTAAGGGACATGTATTCATTCATCACCCTCCAAGGGCCTGGCACTGTGCTGGGCACTGGGGAGCCGATGGTGAGTAAAAACAGTTTATAGTTCAGAAGGTCAGGAGGACATCTCAGCCCAGGATACCCATGACCAGGTATGGCTGCTCCCAGAGTCCTGAGGCTGATCCATCTTCCTGGGCCTGCACCCCCAGTCCAGTTCCGGCACATCTCTCATGGCAGGCCCGGCTTCCTCTACCTCTTGGGCTGCCCTCCAGCAGGTACTAATGGCTTAGAGGGTCTGGCCTAACCAAGTGAGACCAGAGAGAGGTGGGGATTTTCCTTCACCCTTATCGAAGCCATTTCTCTCCCTCCTCTACGTAGGCCAGGAATCTCCTTTTCATTAGATGATGGACAGTGTGAAGTTGCTTAAGGCCCCAACTGAATGATAATATCAAAACCAGGCCAGACACGATGTCTCATATCTGTAACCCCAGCACCTTGGGAGGCTGAGGTGAGAGGATCGCTTGAGCCCAGGAGTTGAAGACCAGCCTAGCCTGGGCAACACAGGGAGACTCGCTTGAGCTCTGAAGCTCAGAGCTGCTTGACCTCTCTGAGGCTCAGTTTCCTTATCTCAAAATCTAGCTCACGCCTTGACAACCTTATGGTACTGTTGTTGTGGAGGTTAAATGAGAGAATATATATTAAGCACTGAGTTCAAAATCTGGCGCACCAACATTATTACTGCTAATATGATGATCACGATCTGTGTCTAATAAAAATTGGTAGTTTGGTTTGGCCACCCACCCATTTGCATGTTTCAGGCTCACAGATCCCCACGTGGCTCTGGAGTCCTGAGCAGGATGCATTCATCAGCCGTAAATATTGTGGCGTTTTAGTCTCGGTGCTCCCAGCTTTTACACTCAACCTAACTTTTGGGTCCCAGGGCCAAGAGAGTATATGGCATTGTCCTTTCTGATTCTCTTTGCTGCAGTTTCTGTTTGTTCGCAGGCAAAGTTGACCTTCCACCTACAGACCCCTCTCCGGGGGGTATTTCTGGCCTTATATATAGGATTAGGCGAGAGACCTTAGGGGGTAAAATCAGAGTGGGCAGAGTAGCCTATGGGGCACCAGCCGGAATCCTAGATGATCAGCACTGGGAGAACCCTGATAAGTCAGACCCCGTGTTGTCCAGATAGAAAAGCAGGAGCCCGGAGAGACAGGGCCAGCCCCTGCCACTGAGCTTAGGTTAGTGATGGGGAATATTTGAATTAGACTTTTCAGCTTGTTGCTGGTGCTCATGCCTTACATCCAAAGCCCTCATGACAGAATTGTTCAGCGCATTAAAGCCTCTGTGGCTTTATAAGCTGCTTATTCATTAATTTTTTATTAGAAAAAAGTTCAAACATACTAAAAAGTACAAAGAATAGTACTCCAAACACCACTGTATCCACCACCCAGAATTAACAGATGTTGACACTGCCCTATTTGCTTCAGCTCTTTTAATTATAAGAAATAGGGGCCGGGCGCGGTGGCTCACGCCTGTAATCCCAGCACTTTGGGAGGCCGAGGTGGGCGGATCACGAGGTCAAGAGATCGAGACCATCCTGATCAACATGGTGAAACCCTGTCTCTACTAAAAATACAAAAAATTAGCTGGGCACAGTGGCGCGTGCCTGTAGTCCCAGCTACTCAGGAGGCTGAGGCAGGAGAATTGCCTGAACCCAGGAGGCGGAGGCTGCGGTGAGCCGAGATTGCGCCATTGCACTCCAGCCTGGGTAAAAAGAGCGAAACTCCGTCTCAAAAAAAAAGAAATAAAAATTTAACAGGGCTGAGCATGGTGGCTCATGTCTGTAATCCCAGCCCTGTGGGAGGCCAGGGTGGCAGGATCGCTTGAGCTCAGGAGGTCAAGACCAGCCTGGCCAACATAGCAAGACCTAGTCCCTATAAAAAAAAAAAAAAAAAAAAAAAAGCCAGGTGTGATGGCATGCGACTGTAGTCATAGCTACTTGGGAGTCTGAGGTCACAGGATTGCTTGAGCCCAGGAGTTCAACGCTGCAGTGAGCTATGATTGCACCACTGCACTCTAGCCTGGGTGACAGAGCAAGGCGCTATCTCAAAAAAAAAAAAAAAAAAGAAAAGAAAAGAAGAAGAAAGAAAAAATTTTAACAGGCTAATGGCTCTAAACACCACCTATGTGCTGATTGCCCCCAACTTATGCTTTCGACCCAGACTCTCTTCCAAACTCCAGTCTCATAGCCTGGTTGCTACTCAACATTTTTATGTGAATGTCAAACAGCATTTCAAATTCCTCCTATCCCCAGCTGAGCTCCTGCTCCTGCTCACCATGTGCCAGATCCTCCTGCAGTCTTGTCTGCCTCTGTGGCTGCCACCTGATGTGAGCCACCATCATCACCCCTAGACTCAGCATTTGTTTCCTAGGTGCCCCCCCGCCACCGCCTCTGCCCTTTTTGCTGTCCTCTTTACCTCTCCCCAAACCCCCTAATTAGCCACACAACACTCAGAGTAATTCTATTAAAATAAAAGTTATGGCCAGGCATGGTGGCTCACGCCTGTAATCTCAGCACTTTGGGAGGCCGAGGTGGGCAGATCACGAGGTCAGGAGTTCGAGACCATCCTGGCCAACATAGTGAAACCCTGTGTCTACTAAATATACAAAAATTAGCCAGGCATGGTGGTGCACACCTGTAGTCCCAGCTACTTGGGAGGCTGAGACGGGAGAATCGCTCGAACCCAGAAGGCGGAGGTTGTGGTGAGCCAAGATTGCGCTACTGCACTCCAGCCTGGGCAACACAGTGAGACACTGCTCTCAAAAAAAAACCAGAAAGAAAGAAAAAAAGTTACATTGTGTCACTGCTCTGCTCAGAATCCATTAGAAGCTCTCCATCTCACTCAGTAAACAGAAAAGCTCTTGGCCACCAGGTAAGCCCCTATTCCCTCTCTGCCTTTGTCTCTATGGCCTTCCGCAGCCTCTCTGCCTGCTCAGTACTTGAACTTGTCAATCATGCGTCAGTCCCTGGGCCTTTGCACATTTCTAAGAGATCTTCCCCTAGATATCTGCTTAAGCTATCCGGAGATATTTTTCTTACCTTCAGGTGAGGTAATCTCCGGCCCCTTTATCTAAAATTTCCACACTACCTGTGTGCTTTTTTGCTTGCTTTTTCCTCTTTCGTGCTTATCACCATGAAACGTACTATATATTTTGCGTATTTGTTTTGTTTCGTGTCTGGCTCCTTTTCCAAAATGTGAGCTTCACATACGCAGCGATTTTGGTCTGTTTTGC